GGTCTCAAGGATCATTGTGAAAGGAGATTGAAATTCTAGCCGCCCGCCAGTCCCTTTCGAGATCCTGTCACCTCGGCGGCGGTGAAGTTTTCCGCGCTCTGAATCGACGACGAAGAGCGAAGTTCGTCCTCGGAATTTAGACGCGCTCGTCAAATCTAAAACTTACCGATTAAGTGAAAAGAAAAATGTCGCGCTTGCGTTGAAGGAGAAGAAAGGAAGCGGGAGAGATATTTCTCCTTTCCTTATTCTCTACACCTTTCACTCTATTCACAGGAGTCACAGGAGAAAATTCTCGTAGGATCGAAACTGCATCTGTCCATGTAGCTGTTCCATCTTACTTTCACTCTAACGATAGTGGAGTTCCTCCCGACGGCAATTAATAGGCAATAATTAGGACGAGCCGGCCACGAATTTTCCTCCGAACTTTACGATGCTACTGGCGCTCCACGCCATCTCTCAAAGTAGTTCCATTGCTGTTTTCAAAGCGGTTCTTCGCCCGAGAAAACCAATATGTCATCAGTCTCCTCGGAACCCCGTTCCCTCCGATATGGAACGTCGAGAAAATTTTCTCCAACTGATAATCACACAACGTTCGACGAGGAAATGTACCTCTCGTATCTCAATCGCGCCGTTTCTACCAGGCACGAATCGTTTTCCATTCTATTTTCCACGAACTAATTACAGCCTAGTTTCAAGGATCCCCGTGAGAATAGCGGGACTCCACCTACTTCCCGCGACGTTTCCTCGCGCGTCCATGAGAGAAGAAGGTTTCATTCGATACTGACATCATAGTTTAATCGGATTCATACATGAAAAAGAAATGCTGCTGTATCAAGAGAATTGGCGAACAGCGCCAATTGGAGCACCGATTGGAGCAAACCTTGACACAATGGCGGGATCACTGAAACTGTTATAATACATCGTACTGGAAAATTCCAGTATTAGTTTCGAGAATATTATCGAATCAAGACGGTCTGCTTCAATTACGGAGCTGTCGGCTGACTCTACTCAATGAAAAATGCAACACAGCATTTTTCAAGCGTGACGGTCAGAAATAAATGACTCGATCGGAAATTTCCCTCGGAATTTCGATTGCGCCACGTGCGTGCGCAATCGGGGCACTCTCCATCTCCCATTTTCCTCATGGCATAATTACACCGGCGACTGCTACAATGCATCCAAGGATTATTGCAACAGACCTGAAACTCCACCTGCCCCTTTTACCCCCGCTCGCGCGAGAGCGCACTCAGAGAAAGAGGGAGAGAGAAAGAGAGAGAACAGCGGGGTTTTCTTTAACCGGTCATCCGCAAAGTAGGCCGACCCGCCGGTGACTCCGGCCGCAGCTAAGATTTCCGAAGGTGTCCGAAGGACGGCTGGTTCACGACGACGAGGCAGGTCCGCACAGCCGCCGCGGGGCGAGCCTGCGTCGCTTATCAGCCGGCGATGCACCGACGAAAAAGACACGATTCTCTCTTCGGACTTCTCTTGTGCTGCACACATACACACACACACACATGTACATACGGAGGAGGTTATACGCACACACAAACGCAACAGACAAACAGACAGAGACCAGTCGTTCGGTCGCACTTTCATCGTCCCACTTTCTCCGTGTTGTTCGGGACGCATCGGCGGATTGACCATGCTGCTCTTCATGGTCTCGAACGAGAGAAAGAGACAGAGATAAAGAGAGAGAGAGAGAGAGAGAGAGAGAAAAAAAGAAAAAGAGAGAACACCTTTCCTCCCTCTCTCATGAAACACGACACCGGCACGTTCGCCTCCTTCATCGGCGCTGATTATCGCCGCTGAGAACACATCAGAAAACGCCTGGGCGACATCCGAGAAAGTCCGGAGAAGCCGCATCCGCCTTCTCTCGCGTTAAACGCGTCGCCGTGCCCGCGGGTGGGATAACGACTCGAGCGGAAACCCGTCGTCGGCTTGAATCGATTTGGGAAAGTCCCGGCGATCGACTTTACACGACTTCTCGCGGAGATCTCTTTCACTCTACGACTTCGTGTAGAAAATTTTCCCCCCAAGTCTACCGTATATAATAAATATATCCATGCGTATCCTTTCAGGATGAAACGCTAGCTCAGACATTTTGCCTACAGTTGAACAGTGTAAATCTCAACGTGAAAGTAAGACCGTCATTATCTCCCGTCCGCGGAAATTAATTAACACTATCGCTGTCATCAAGCGCATCACGTCGCGTCATATCGCGTCGGATAATAGTTCATAATTGTCACTCGCGCGCACGATCGTGACGTCCGTAATGACGATAACGATCAACGATTATCACGACAAAATTTTTCTCTCGATACGCCTCACGGGGCATTCGGACCTCCGTCGAGTTTGTCGATCGCGATCTTTTATTCATACGTCGTCACGGCACCTTCCTCATCGAAATCGCGATGCATCGCGTCGATGCGGACCGAACGAAAGAATGAAAAGCAGCGGCGTGTCACAGCACGTGCATAACCCCGGGGTTTACGGTACCGCT